GGAGTGTTAAAATCTCCGACTATGATAGAGCTGGGAGAGATCAAGTTGCTCATGCCTGTTAGAGTATCTCTTATAAATTGAGGTGTATTCTGGTTGGGTGCATAGATACTGATAATTGAAATCTCATCATCTTGGGTACTACCCTTGACAAATATAAAATGGCCATCCTTATCTTTGCTTATTTTTGTTGGTTTAAACCCTAACATATCTGTAAATAAGATCGCAACACCTGCTTTTTTCTGGTTTCCATTTGCCTGGAATATAGATGACCATCCCTTCACCCTGAGTCTGTATTTATCTTTTAAAGTAATATGTATTTCTTGGACACAACAGATATCTGGTCTGAGTTTCTGTATCCAATCAGCCAATCTGTGCCTGTTTAAATGGCAATTTAGGCACTTCACATTGATTGAAATTAGTGAAAGACCTGGTGAGATATTGGTCTTCAAGTTGCTCGAAAGTCCAGTAGACATTTTTAATCCTTTCACCACTGTGGAAGTTGGAATTTGATCAAAAGTTTCTGAGTGAGTTTACTTTTGTAGTGAGGGATTGCAATGGTCATTATGGAGTATAGGTTTGAGAATTTCCTGCAGAGGTGGTTTAGTTATGGCAAATTTCTTCAACATGTGGATGTCATTAAAGTGTTTAATTTCTCCATCATAGATGAAACTCAGTTTACCTGGATATTCAATCCTGGGTTGGAAGTTGTTTTGTTTTAGGAGATTAAAAGTTGCTGACCATCCTCTTGTAGCCTGAAACATTTCAGCAGGAAGATCTGCAGTCATTCTAATACTCTTTCCTTTGTAGGTTATGGTTTTCTTGCATCTAATTGCTTTCACAATTTTTTCTTTCATATACATTTAGTGAGGTTAGTTATGATGTGCCTGGGGGATGTCTTGTTTGGGTTGAATCATGTTGAGGTTCTGAAACTATATGCTATCTGAATTTCAGAATCTCTTGGCATGTCTAGAAAATTCTCTTTCAAAATTTCATGAAGAAGAGCCTCTGTGTTTTGTGAGGCAGCTTCATCACTTTCAGGGATTCCTATAAGGCGAATATTAGTTCTCTTCGAATTTTCCCAGAACTCTCTGAGAGAAAGATCTGTTCTTGCTTTCCATTTCTTTTCGTCCTTCTGCTCTTGGGCTTGATCAAAAGCTTTGTCTTCAATGTCAGAGATCCTTTCTTCAGTCTGTTCCACTCCGTTATGAAGAGATTCCACTGTGTTTTTCAAATCTTTGAGGGCTACAAACTCTTGCCTCAAAGTTTTGATATTTTTGATCATTTTATCTTTGAAATTGCTGAATTCTTGAGTCATCTTTTGAATAATTTCTTGGGACATCTTTTGAATAATTTCTTGGGACATCTTTTGAATAATTTCTTGAAGTTCTAGCTCTTTCCTTTCTTCCATTCTATTAATCTTATTTAGTATCCACATTCTGAACTCAATTTCTGTCATCTAAGCTATCTCTTTATGGGTTGGATCTTCAGATGCCTCTGCCAAGTCCTTCCTTGGGGCGGTTGATCTACTCTGGTTATTCCTACTACCAGAGTTTTTTCACTGACTCTGCCCCATACTGGATTTACTCTGTTTGGCTAGATGAGCAGGTAAGAGGAAGTTGGGTTGGGGGTTCCGGGAGTAGTATTTTACTAGCCTTTTTGGGCAGAGGCTGGGACTGGTGTCTATCTTTTCCCCTACAGCTTTGTCAAGGATGCGTATAATGCTATGGTCTGAGAGCCTGGGGGCCTGCAAGGCTTTCTTTATTATTTCTTATTCTTTTGGGGTTTTTTCCTGACTGGGTTTTTCAAAAGACATGTCTTCAAGTTCAGTAAGTATTTTTTTTTTCACTTTATCTAGTCTATTATTGAATCTCTTTGTTGTCTTTTTGGTATGCTTTATTGAATTATTTAGTTCCAGGATTTCTTTGGTTCTTGTTTATGGTATCTATCTCTTGGATGAATTTTTTTATTCAGATCATGAATTGTTTTTCTGATTTCTCCATTTTGTTGATCTGTGTTCTTTTGTATAACCCGGAGTTTCCTTAAGATGGATGTTTTGAATTCATTTTTATGATTTTAATAAATTTTCCTTTGAGATCTATTATTGGAGAATTATTATGTTCTTTTGAAGTCATAATATTTCTTGCTTTTCATGCTTCTTGTGTCTTTATGAACAAGATATTTATGCATCTGGCATAACAGTTACTTCTAACTTTATGGATTGGCTTTCACAGGGATAGATTTTTTCTTTTCTTTTTTTCCTTTTATTAAGTCATATATACATAGATCATGAATACATTTTTGCCTGTGTGGGATTCTATGTGTTGATTATTTGTACAAATTGGAGTGCTTACATCCAACTAATTAACATAGCTTTCACCTCATTTACTTAATCACTGTGTTAAGACACTTCTGTTATATACTTAATTGATTTGATTTGTACCCTTGCAATATGCTCCATAGTTGTGGTCCCACCATTTACCCTCCCTCCATCAAACCACTCTTTCCCCCCCTCCATTTTCCTCCCCATCTCGCCTTCATCCTGGGCTATAGTAGTGATTCATTTTTCATATGAAAGTGTGAGAGACTATAAACTGGTTTCATAATACTACTGAGTACATTGGATTTTTTTTTCCATTCCTGAAATACTTTACTAAGAAGAATAGACTTTTTCCTATAGGTATATCTCTAGTATGGTTTATAGGGTTCTTTGGCTTTGATTTGGGTGGATATAGTAACATAGTATCTATATGATTTTTTCAGCTATAATCAATATCAGAGTTACCAGTGGATTAGGCTGTCCTTGTTACTAGAGGCTGTAACAAGTCTTTGCTGGGGATGGGGACACCAGGTGGGCAAGTTCATAATGGTGACAGTGGCCAGTTGCCTGAAGAGGATAAATGACACAAGCAGTGGCAGTAGCAGTGGTGGGCCAGCCATCAGACCCCTGGGTGGTGTATGTAAACACCAGTGGTGGTGGCAATGAGCTGGTTTGACTGGTCCCCAGACCCTTGGGTGGGTGCATATGAGTGGTTAATGGTAGCAGGCTGGGTGGTGTAGTCTCTGGGCCCCCAGGAGGACTCTAGTGTTGCATGTGTGTTCCGTTGTTGTTGAAATAAATTTAATTTACAGAACAATTGCAAAGACACAGAAAGTTTCTATATACTCTTTAGTTAGTTTTCCCTAGTGTTAAGTCTAATATAGAAATATTGATACTTTTCTAAATATAAGAAATTAACATGGTGCTTCACTAGTAGGTAAACTTATTTATTTGGATTTTACCAGTTTTTCCTATAATGTCCTTTTTCTGCTCAATGATCCAATCTAGGAAACTATGTTGCATGACTTCTCAGGGCCCTTTGCTCTGCTTCGCATTCTGGTATTTTTTTTTTTTTAACGACATTGACAGTTTTGAATAGTATTGGTCGGGTACTACATATATTGTAGAATATACATCAGTTTGTCTTGGTCTGATATTTTCTCATGATTAGTGAGTTTTAGGAAAGATTATCATAGAGTAAAGTACTCTTCTCATCACATTATATTGAGGGTAGTATATCAACTTGACTTATCGCTAATGATGCTAATCTTATGGTTTCATTTTTTGACCTGGAAACTACCTACTTTGTGATTCCTCAATTTGTGTAGTATCCTGGTTGTTTCTTATTTCCAGAGTTTCTTGAATGTTTATCTTTTTCTTTTTTGTGTGTGTGTTCTAATATTTGTTTCCTTTTTATTTTTATATGCTTTTACTATTTTTTTTCTCAATGATGTTCTAAACCTTGCTTTTCACATGCTCCCTTTTGTTGGATAAAATCTAATTATAGAGATTTACTGACCTACAGATTTTCCAACCAGTTGACATCCATTGTATAATTTGAAAATACAGTGATAGAATCAAAGATTGCACAATAATCTTCTGCTTAAAAAATACAGGTGACAGGTAATACATTGCAGGAGGAATTTTAAGTGAATGATTAAATAATTTTTATGTCTGATAGAATAAGGTTCACTGATGTAGAATACCTCTTTCTCCCAATGATGCCACCTAAGTAGTCTTTTTTGCATAGCACATAGTCTATTCTTTAATGAGAATTTATAACTTAGTTACATGTAGATTTCTAATACTATTTTTGTGGAAATAGTAACATTGGATTATAAAGTTAATAAGTATCTTTTTTGATATTATATTGCAGATTTTAAATCACATGTAGTCTGAGATATTTAATTAGATAATTTTTGAAAAGATATTTTAAGCATTGTTTAGAAGGATTATTTGATATATATATATACACACACATATATATATAATTATTGTTTAGTTTCTTATATTAACTTTGTCTTAACTCTCAGTTCTTCTGAATTCTCTAGGAACAGATATCTTATAGTATTCCAATAGATGAATGGCCATATACTATACACCTCAAGCAAAGGTAATTGCTTTAGTTTTTAGTTTTGAATTTTATCATATTTATATGTTTACTTATAATAAAAATGGGCTATGAAAAAATAAATGAAGTTAACATTTAAGCTTTTAGTCTTCTCAGGAGAACATATACTCCCCTGTGACTTAATTTAAACTTTGATTCTAATGTCTTAAGTAGTCTTTTGTAAATGGGAGTTTGGAACAGAAAAAATTGGGACTCATCTCCTGAACACTGATCTATATGATATAAGATATAAGTTGACTTTTATATTTCATGTCATTTGCATAGTCATTGTGTCAAAACATTTCAAAATGTATATGAAAACACTACACTGTACCCCATGTTTGCATTAATGTATACAGCTATCATTTAATAAAAAAAATTAAAAAACATAATAATACAAGCTATGAAAATTTTAAAGTATATATAATTATGCTGAAAATTTTTTATCAACTTTTATATCTGTGACAATTATAAAACATTAACTAGGTGGAAAATAAGAATACTAAGCTATAAACTTTTTTGTGGCTGCTTTGATGCCAACATAATCAGCACATTGAAAAATATTATACAGTTTACATTTAATAAAATTGAATTGAATTTGAAAAAAAAAGATATAAGTTGACTTACACTTGGGATTCATCTCCTGAACACTGATCTATATGATATAAGATGTAAGTTAACAGGACCAGTAGGACCTATACTCTCAGGACAGGATATTGTTCAGAGAAATTTGATAAAAATTAACTTGTTAATCCTAATGACTTCTTGATATCAAAAGGAAAAACTCTTTATTGCTAGCTTGTATCTTATAGTCACCAACAAATTGACAGTTGCATAACATCTGAATAAACAAAAATAGTGAAAAAAAGTAAATCTGTAACTGATCATATGATTTAGGGTTTTACCAGAGAGGTGGGACTACAGAAAGGGACAGGGAATAGGGATTTAATATAGAAATTAGATCTTATACTGCTGGAGAACTGGTGAATAGCATACTATGTTTACTTTGTGACAGAGAAGAGAACAGCCTCCGTTAAATTTGGGCATAAAACTACGGTATTTGTGAGAGGTAGATTATGAGAACTGAAGGTAGCAAGTGTTAGCATGGAAACTTGTACTGCAGGAGTAAAAAAAAAAAAAAAAATTGACTCAAAGATTAGGATAGGTTTGATGCAAAAAGTTTATTTATTTATTTTTTTATGAGAGAGTACAAGGCATGACATGAAAGAAAGAAGGAAGAAGCCCAAGATTTAGGGTTTTAGACTTTTTATTGGGGTTATAAAGGTTAAAAAAGTAGTTATTGCTGCAAAATAATAATAGGAGATGACTGTTTGTTTTCCTTTGCTAGGCTAGCTTTATTAGACTTCTTAGAATGTGCTTCCAGCAAATATAGAGGAATGTAACACTCCTCTGTCTGCTCAGTACTCTTCAAGTGCTATAAAATAAACTGTTATGGACCACAAGTTAAATCAGAGGTAGTTAAGAAAACAGAGGGGCAGTTGTTGCTGTGATTTTTTCTTCCTTTTTTTCTTTCTGTTTATTACTAATGCCATTCCTTCAGAAAATATACATACCTTTGTCAAAGAACATTGATCAGAGAAATAAGAGGATGTTTAGATGAACATTTTTTAAGAAATTAAAAAAAAACAGGATTCTTTTGACTGAGGGGAAGTTTTGTAAAGTGATAGAAAAAGATAAATGAAAGGGGTAAACATGGACTCGCATAGAAAATGTTGACTTTTCCTTTAGAGAGAAGAGTATAATACACAATAACCCAAAGAACTTCAAAGAGTATTAGAGGGAAAGTTAGAGAGCTCTTAGTGAATTTGAATATCTTATTAGGAATATAAACCTTGTTAAGAAGAGTAGAGACTGGAGTTTGAGAGATGGATAAGGAATATGTATATTGTTTTGAAAAATTATCTGCATAATTATTGTGACAGCATAATGGCCATTAGGATGTTATTGAAAATAGCTTATATGAGGAATAATACGAAGGAGAACTATGATTTTTTAGAGGTAAGGAAATTTTGTGTCTGAGAAATACTGAGGAGGCATTTCTCAGAAACAAAATGACTTAGTAATAGATAGAACAGAATGATCACAGAGATTTGATAAGTAGAAGGAGATTAAGGACATATTCAATCAAAAGAAATATGGGCTCATTGTGAAAGAAGCTGGTTCTAAAATGCTTGTCAGACACCCAAAGGAAATGTCTATGAGGCAGTTAATTTACTGTAGAACATGGATGAGAAGTGTGAGTTTCAACACTGTTTCATTATAAAAACTCTCAACAAACTAGGTAAAGAATTAACCTACCTCAAACCAGTGAGTACCACACATGCCGCAGTCACAACTAACATCATACTCAATGATGAAAAGTTGAAAGCTTTTCATCTAATACCAGGGACAAGATAAAGATGCTCACTCTCCATTTCTATTCAACATAATACTGGAATTCCTAGCCAGAGTGTGAATGTACAGAAATAAATAAGATAAATCTGTAGAGGTCGGGTGAATGTTAAAGGTGAGAAGGAAAAACAACATAGTATTCAATATCAAAGACCATTAAGTTATGAAGGAAGGATCCCAACAAAGGGATTTGATAAAAGTAGAAGAAAATACATGAAGGAAACCACAAGAAGTAGTATCAATTACACTGAAGAAGAGATATTTTAGAGACGGGGAATGTGGTCAACAGTATGAAGTTCTTCAGAGTAGTTTTAGGTGGCTTCAAATGGCCTTTTTGATTTATCAGCTAGGAGGTCATTAGTAACCTTTGTGAGATCAATGTTAATGGACGCTTTCAACAGAAGGTCGTCTGGGTGGTTCATTGGGTTGAAAAGTGAACACAAAGTGAGGAAGCATAATTAAAATAACATAATAAGTAAAGGGAATGATACCAAATTTGAATTCAGACTCAAAAGTTTCAGTATATATGCTCAGGGGAATATGACTTTTACATAATAATCTTCCCCTTCATTATAATATATGTACATGATGGGAAAATTTAGAAAGAATGAAAGACAAATTTCATATTACATCCAGTTTATTTCTTTTAAATTTTAATAAGCTTTGCCTGCCCTCTTATAGTCCCTTCCTATTTTTCTTTACTTAACAAATGGAATCAATGTAACCTGGTATTGGTAACCCAATATTAAAAAATTAAGAGTCCATTAAGTTAGGATAATATTTTGAGTAAATTTGTATTAATTTGCTTAAAAATTAAATATATGTTGAATGTAAGTACTGCCTTTATGTCAGAGATTGACAACATTTTCATTAAACATCCAAATAGAAAATACATTAGGCTTTGAGGACCATATGATTTTTGCAAAAACCATTCAACCACTCTTTTCCTATAGTATGAAAACAGCCATGATAATATGTAAGTCAGTGGGTAGGGCTGCATTCCAATAAAACTTTATTTACAAAAGAAAAGGTGAATCAGATTTTGGCTGAGGGTGTTAGTTTACTGAACTTTGCGTTATATTTCAAGGATAATTTTTTAAATTTCCTCTTTTTTGAATTCAGATATTTTGTAGCGGATAATTTTATGATTTATTTGTATAAGCAGGGATCTGTGAATTCTCATTCTTCAAATATTCAGGTAAGATTTAAGTTTTATATTTTGTGGATTTTTTTAAAAAAAAACTTTTTACATTAAATACATGTTTTCTTAATACAGAAGGCTTTCAGGATTCACAGGGAATATATTTAAAGTGTTTATTGGTTAATGATTTGGCTTTCTTGAAGTCTTGGTAAACTAAAGACCAATTACATTGACCTATCATCATGTTTGACACTGGCTAGAACTCAGGCACTATTTGTTCACTTATTTATTTATATTTTGCTGAATGAATGAATATGTATAAATAATAAGAAAAGTTATACAAATATTGGACACAAATTATATGTAGACAAAAAAATATGTATTTTCTTCCTTCCTCCATTCCATCCATCAATAACTCCTATTAACACTTCCCTTCAAACTATATATCCAGAAGCCACTCTCTTCCTCTGCCTCCATCCACTGATACCTCCCATTTATGAGGAAAATAGATATCTACTTTGGATTGTTGCCATAGCTTCCTGAGTAATCTCCTTGCTCTCACACCTTGTCCACCTCAGACAGTTCTCAACATGGAAATCAGTTTGATTCTATTAAAACCTAGTTAAATTATGTTGTATCTCTGCTCAGAACCTGCCGTGGAATGGCCTCCTGTCACCAGAAAGTGGAAACCAGAGTGTTTTCTTCCAGGCTTCACATGCTCTGGACCCCTTTTACAACTCTGATGGTTTCCTGTTATTCCCACATCACTCACTTTGTTCCAGCTACACTGGTCTCCTTGCTGTTCTTCCAACATACCAGCTATGTTATCCTTCCAAATCATTGTACTTTCTATTTCCTAGGATCCAAATGCTTCTTTCCCAGAAGACTCACATGTATGTCTTCCTTATTTTTGTCAGGTCTTTATTCAAAATCACTCTCACTCTAATACCTCTGTATATTTTATTTAATCATTTTGTTTTTTCCTGTGGTAGTTTTCAGTATGTAATGTACCTATACTGTATCTAGTTACTTTATTTTCTGTTTCCCCAGTGCAATATAATCTTCCTGAGGGCTTTTATTCTATTTTATTCACTGTGACACCATTTCATAGAAAAATGCCTAGCACTCAGGATACACTGAAGATTTTTTAAATTAAATCATAACTGTGTACATTAATGAAGTCATGGGGTACAATGTGCTGCATTTATATACAATTTGAAATATTTTCATCAAACTAGTTAACATAGTCTTCATGGCATTTTCTTTGTTATTGTGTTAAGACATTTATATTCTACATTTAGAAAGATTTACATGTACCCTTGTAAGATGAGCCATAGGCGTGATTCCACCAATCGCCCTCCCTTCACGCATCCTCCCCCTCCCCTCTCCTCCTTCTCCCTTTTCCCCATATTCTTGGGCTATAATTAGGTTATAGCTTTCCTATGAAAGCTATAAATTAGTTTTGTAGTAGGGCTGAGTACTTTGGACACTTTTTCTTCCATTCTTGAGATACTTCGCTAAGAATAATATTTTCCAGCTCCGTCCATGTAAACATGAAGGAGGTAAAGTCTCCATCTTTCTTAATCTATGTATAGTATTCTATGGTGTACATATTATTAATCTATTCGTCGGGTTGATGGGCACTTGGGCTTTTCCCATGACCTAGCAATTATGAGTTGGGCTGCAATAAACATTCTGGTACAAATATCTTTGTTGTAGTGTGATTTTTGGTCTTCTGTATATACACCTAGTAGAGGAGTTATAGGATCAAATGGCAGGTCTATTTTTAGTTCTCTAAGTGTTCTCCAAATGTCTTTCCAAAAGAAACATATTAGTTTGCCATCCCACCAACAGTGTAGAAGTGTTCCCTTTCTCCACAACCATGCTGGGCTCTGTGATTTTGTGATATGGGCTAATCTTACTGGTGTTAGATGGTATCTCAAAGTGGTTTTGATTTGCATTTCTTTGATGATTAAGGATGATGAGCATTTTTCATATATCTGTAGGCCATGCACTTCTCTTCTTCAGAGAAGTTTCTCTTCATGTCACATTATGTTGTTTCACTTAAATTATACAGGACTATGATTTCCCTTTACCTCTTCCTTCCTTTAGTTCCATTATAAAGTAGTATGCTAATAAAAAGTCTTATATTTATTTGTACCAAAATTTAGAACACCACTGAATCTTGGACATGAAATAATCTCCCTTTATTTCTGTGACATTTGCTACTCTTTATCTCTGGCTTGATTGCACTGTGGTTGGAGGGCAAACTGCAGTTTCAGTCCACTGAAATATGTTGAGTCCTGAATTATGGCCCCAAGTATAGATTCATTTTTGTAAATATTCCATGTGTCCTCAAAAAGTGTATTCCAGTTATTTTAAGTATAATGTTATACATGTATTATTTAAATCATTTACTCACTATGTTGAAACCTTCTGTAGATTTTTTTATATATACATATGTTTATTAGGTTTCCATTTTTTGCCTTCACAAAATTAAAAAGGCTTAAAATTTAATAATAATAACAATGTTTAGGATAAGGACTAGAAAAAAAAACCTCATAAAGAATGAATGAAGATAAATACATTCAGAAAAGAAATCAGATGATGCTGCATTGAAATATTAAGCAATAATGATAATAATAATGCAAAGAAAGTAGCATTCACATTGTCAAATAAGATGTGTCTATTATAGAATGCTTTGACTCTGAGTTTCAGTATGGAGTCATCAGTTAACTTCTTCTTATTATTTTTTTCCAAAAAATAAACAACTAATACTTATAAATAAAAGTAAAATATAATTTCAAAAATCAGATAATGCCAAATCTTATTTACAATAGAAAAAGAAGAAATATTTCAAAATCATTCTACTTAATCTGAATACACCTGATATTAAAATTGGAAAAAAATATTATTGTAAAGGAGAAATTATAAACATATTTCACTTATAAATGAAAATACAGTATCCTAAACAACATATTACCAGGTTGAATTAAAAATTAATGTTTAAGTAATATACTTTGGTCAAAATTAAATCCAATTTATGTGAGAATTAGTCACTATTTTCTTTTCTGTTCTTTTTTTCCCTTCTTTCCTTTCCTTCAACCCTCTCTTCTTCTCTGTCTGATCTCCCCTTCCCCCATGCCCCACCGTGTCATTAATTATCATTAATTGTCCTCATATCAAAGTTGAATACATAAGATTCATATTTCTCCATTCCTCTGATGCTTCACTAAGAATAATGTGCTCCACTTCCATTCAGGTTAGTACAAGTGCTGCAAAATCTCCATTTTTAATGGCTAAATAATATTCCATGGTATACATATACCACAGCTTACCAATCCATTCCTGGGTTGAAGGACATTTAGGCTGTTTCCATATTTTAGTGATTATAAATTGGGCTGTGATAAACAGACTAGTATAAGTGTCTTTATAATAAAAGTTTTTTTTTTTTTTCTCCTTCTGGATAGATGGCCAGTAATGGGATTGCAGGATCAAATGGGAAGCCGAGGTTGAGTTTTTTTGAGGTTTCTCTATATTTCCTTCCAAAAATGTTGTATTATTTGCAGTCCCACCAGCAGTGTAAAAGTGTTGCTTTCTCTCCTCATCTGCACCAGCATCTGCAGTTTTGAGATTTTGTGACACAGGCCATTCTTGCTGGGGTTTGATGATATTTCGGGGTGGTTTAATTTGCATTTATCTAATAATTAGGGATGGTGGGCATTTTTTTATGTGTTTGCAAGCCATTTGTCTGTCATCTTTAGAGAATATTCTGTTCATTTCTCTTCCCCGTTGATGTATCAGATTGTTGTTTTTTTCTTGTGGATTAATTGAAGTTCTGTATAGATCTTGGGTTTTTAAGCTTTTGTCTGATTCAAAATAAGCAAATATACTTTCCCAATGAATAGTTTGTCTATTTGCTTTGGTTGTTGTCTCCTTGGTTGTACAGAAGCTTTTCAATTTAATTAAAACCCATTTGTTTATTATTGCTGTTGTTGCTATTGCCATGGCAGTCTTCTTCATAAAGTCTTTCCTCAGGCCAATATCTTCCAGTGTCTTTTTCTATTCTTCCTTTGAGCATTTTTATCATTTCATGCCTTAAATTTAAGTCCTTCATTCATCTTTAATTAATTTTTGTAAGTGGAGAAAGGTGTGGGTCCAGTTTCAGTCTGTTACGTGTAGATCTCAATTTCTCCCAGCACCATTTGTTGAATAGGGAGTCTTGGGTGGCACCTGTGGCTCAAAAGGGTAGGGCGCCAACCCATATGCTGGAGGTGGTGGGTTCAAACTCAGCCCTGGCCAAAAAAAAATATATATATAGATATAGATATAGATATAGATATAGATATAGATATATAGATATAGATATATAGATATATATATGGAGTCTTTCCCCCAGTGGATGCTCTTATTTGGTTTATTAAAGTTTAGGTGGCTGTAATTTGTTGGTTTCATTTCCTGGTTTTCTATTCCATTCCAAATGTCTATATCTTGATTTTTGTGCCAGTACCATGCTGTCTTCACCACTATGGCCTTGTAATACAGCTTAAAATCTGGTATGGTGATACCCCCAGCTTTGTTTTTATGACTAAGAACTGCCTTAGCTATATGTTGTTTTTTTGTTTTTTTTTTTTTCCTTTCTGGTTCCATACAAAACACAGAATCATTTTTTTCTTGAAAGTAGGATGTTTGTATTTTATAGTGATGGCATTGAATTGGTAAATAGTTCTGGAAAGTATAGATATTTTCACAATGTTGAGTCTTCCCAGCATGAGCATGGCATATTCTTCCATTTGTTAATGTCCTCTGCTACTTACTTTTTTAGGGTTTCATAATTTTCTTTATAGAGGTCCTTTACCTCTTTTGTTAGGTATATTCCTAAGTATTTCATTTTCTTTGGGGCTCTGGTGAAAGGAGTTGAGTCCTTAATTAACCTCTCATCTTGGCTGCTGGCTTATACAAAGGCAACTGACTTGTGGACATTGATTTTATACCCTGAGACATTACTATTCCTGCTCTTGGAGCTAACTGGTCTATGATGCAGAGACAAGCAATGT